CCGCCCGCCCCCCTGCCGGTGCCTCTGCGTACCCCTAGGGCTCCCGTGGCCCCGGGCAAGATGCTGGGGAGGCTGCTGGGGCGTAGCACCGGGCTGTGGCGGCTGGTGGCTCGGCCGGCCCTGCACCCCACCAGGGCCATCAGCGACAAAGCAAAGGGCTCTCAGGACGCGGCGTTGCAGACAGCTAATCCAGGTGGGTAGGAAGGCGTTGGTCCCTGTTTCATGCTGCAGCATGGAGGGAATGGGTATTTGCAGCAAAGGGTGAGAAAATGACCCTTGTTCTTGTCTGTGGCTGTGCTACTGCAGTGCTGCATCTCCTGGGGTTACAAACGTCCCCGGGACACGGAGCAAACTGAGAGCTCCGACTAGCACAGCGCACAGGCATAAAGTTCTGTGTGTTAAATAGTCCTCCTCCTATGGCAGCAAGTACAAATTGATACTGCATGTCAGGGAACATGTTAATACAAAAAAATGAATAAATGTTCCTCCTTGTATGCAGCTGCCAGGTTTGCATCTCCTGGGGTTACAAACGTCCCCGGGACACGGAGCAAACTGAGAGCTCCGACTAGCACAGCGCACAGGCATAAAGTTCTGTGTGTTAAATAGTCCTCCTCCTATGGCAGCAAGTACAAATTGATACTGCATATCAGGGAACATGTTAATACAAAAAAATGAATAAATGTTCCTCCTTGTATGCAGCTGCCGGGTTTCCAGAGGACGGGTGCACATCCCCACACGTGCAGGGCTGGTGCAAGTGGCAGACCTGCACCCCACTCTGCTCCCCCAGCGCTCCCTGCCCGGTGACATCCACTGCTGTGTGTGCTTGTGGCAAGCAGTGCCCTGGCTTACCGGGCAGGCAGTGGGCATGGGCTGCTCCCACACGGGCAAGCTCCCTGCCATGGAGATAGTTTCTGTCTTTAATCTGTACCACTACCTCCTTGGTCGTGTGCTTTGCAGCCTCCTCACCCTAGCGAGGCTGGGCTGCGTGGGGTTGCCTGTGCTCCTGTGGGATGGCTGTGGGTCGCCAGCATGGGGGTTTGCCCTTGTCTTTCCTGGGATGGAGCCTGTCCTTTTAGTGATCCACCCTACTGCTTGCTGCAGATCTGATTCAGACAGTTGCTGATATTTTAGAGGTAGCTCTCCTGGTCTCGCTGGCACTCTGTAAGAGAAATAAGAAAAGCAGGAGGTTATAAGTATCTGGGGGTCTGGGTGCCAAGATTTACACCTGGGATTTTTCAGCCATTCACAAGTCCTAGCACGCATGAACAGGCCTGTGGCCAAGGCACTTTATGTAATTTCACCATCTCGACACAGGCAGGAAGAGATGCTCCCCGTGCCCTGTTCTGGAATGGCAGTGATTTCCGTTCAGCCAAGCACCAGCCATCCAGCAACAGCCAGGACATGCAGAACACCAAGACTGGGGGCATCTTCATGTCCGTCCCTTCCCGCGTGCCCTGGTCACCCCCAAGGCATTTCTAAACACCCATTGCACATTTGCAAGCACAGGGCACCATAACCTATCAACTTGGTGCACCTACTTGGGCACGTGAGCAGTCCCCAGCTACCTTGTGATGACCACCTGTACAGGTGTGCAATGCAAACGCTAGGATTTGAGCTAGCCATTGCTTACCCTATTTTTGCAGGGTCTCTCTGTCACTGCCATCGTCGTGGCCTGTCATTGGGCTTATTTCCATCAAGAGGATCCAGAGTCCCTTTCTTATTGTGCTCACAGTGACAGCATGCTAATGGTATCGCCGTGGTAGTCTGGTGGGGTGTAATGTATCATCATTAGAGTACAGTAATGTGGTACCCAGCTTGCATGAGAACGACTGCCAGCCTCCCACCAGGCTGTATTTTAACAGACCTCGTCTTTCCATCAGCCCTTTTAGAAAGAGATGCTGTCGAAGAGTTATTAGTGCTGCTGGCAGTTTGCTTAACTCTCTAGTTGGGCCATTTAAAAGCAAGGTGCTAGCAGGGTGAGAGCATGCTGCGGGCTTGGGAGACTTCAGCACCGCATCCTTTCCCCTCTTAATCAGGAAGGTTAGAAGAGATTTTTAGTTTAAAACCTGCCTAAACTAAAGGAAAAAAAAAATTAGGCAAAATGAAATGAGCTCCAAATGTAACAAAGCACCTCACGCCAGCTGCTGAGTCCTTTCGACATTAGAAAGCACATTTGGCTCTCACAGAATAGAAAAGTGCCATTCTGAACTTTCGATCCTTTTCCCTGTGTAACGACAGCTTTTTTCTTCTTCCCTTCTTTAAGCTTAGCTCATTGGTTTCTTTTATAAAATTTCTTACAGGTTACAAAGCTTTCAAAAATGACAGAAGGCCTACAAATTTTGATAAAAAGGTGTTGGTATGGGCAGGACGCTTTAAAAAGGAGGAGGACATTCCCAAGCACATATCGTAAGTAGTGTCTGAATGATGCTTTGGATGGGAACGTACAGATTGAGAACCAAGTCCGCATTACCCAGAACTGTGCTCACATGGTGAGGGTTAGTGCTCCTCCATGCTGACGGGGCCTGCTGCTACTCATGTCCAAAAATAATCTGAATTTTGGGGAGCAGGAACTTTTTGTCATGCCATGTGAAGTAAACTGGATTCACTTATTTCAGATGTCATAAGTTTCAGACTAAGCTGAAGTGTCTTTTGCAAGACAAATGGTTTTGTAACTCAGAAGTCACCCTGGTAAAATACCATCCACTTCAGATTTTTGCATGCTTTGCTAGTTTTTATTGCCTAGCAATTAATAATGCTGCATAAATTTTAAAAAAAGAAGTTGGGGCTATACAGAGCCTTGGTGCCAGACATCTGCAATGAGTTCCTCACGTCTGGGCTATGGTTTCACCTCTTTGTCAAGGTACTTTGTTAAAGGATTGTCACTCAGTTTTGGAGACCTAACGCTTCCTGACTTGTGCCCTCCTGGGGGCTCCTCTGGCTGGCCTTCCCCCGCAGGTGTAAGTACATCCATGGCAGGGTGTGATTTCATGAAGGACTCATTGCCACGCTGCAGTCTCTTGCAAGCGTGAATGGTTGGATAAATGCTGTGAGTCACTCGTGGAAGGTGGTGGAGATTTCCCAGAGACGGCTGCTTGGGAAGTTCGGCTGCTTGGGAAGACAACTCCGGATTGTTGGTGCGATTGTCCTCTCCAGCTCAGGCTCAGCCTGGTGCCGCAGGCAGAGGCTTGCGGGGCCAGCTGCCTGGTGGAGGGCGATGCTGCAGCGGGACAGGGCTGCAGAGCAAAGCACCTCCTGCAGCTGGGATGAGGCCACAGACCCACTCACCACTTGCTGTGCCTCTTCGCTGTGTGAAAACTCTCCCTTGCTCTTAGCCAAAATGTCATGCGTGTGTTTATTCCCCTGAGGGTGGCATTGCCTGGTCCTGGCAGCACAGCCCCAGTGTCTCCAGGTGCTGTGCAGCACCCCATGCCCTGCCCTGCAACACCCAAAGCTGGGACCCTGGTAATTCCATTATTGCAATGAAAAGACTTTCCCATCCTTGTAATTTTTCAGATGTTTACTCTCATATGCAGAAAAAGAAGGCAGGAGAGCAGGATTTGTTATTGCTGTTGTTACTGATGACTGTTGGGAGCAGCAATACCCCACCTGTGTGGGAGGGTGGCTAAATCTTTCCCCTACAGGCTAATTTCTCAAGTCCTCCTCTAAACACTTGCACAAAGAAAAGGCTGAAACACATTGTACATTAATAGGCAGTTGTGGGAAGACTTGAGGATTCATTACCCAGCTCCCCATGATCTCATTTCACACATGCTGCTGCAGGACGGAAACTCTGCTCTGTCCTCTGCAGGTCTGAGGTCCTCGATGCAGCAAGGAACAGCGTCAGGATAAAGGTTTGCTACATCATGATTGCACTGACCTTGCTGGGCTGTTTGGCCATGGTAATCACAGGCAAAGAAGTGAGTATTGTTTCTGGGTGAACTGAACCACTTAATATATGGTCTATGCATGCTCTTTCTTTAAATAAGCACCCAGGTGACAGATGGGTTTGAGAATAAGTCCATAAAAGCAATATTTGGACAGGATCTGTATTACTCCTTTCTCTGGAGGAGAGATTGGCACAGGGAAGCACAACTTGCTGATTAATGTGTTCTTTCTGACCTGCTTTGCCATAAACCCGCGCAGTGCAATGCTCTGCATCATGGTATCTCGGCAAGGTCCAAAGGTTGTGGAGTAGCTCAGACAATGTCAATGGCACCTGGTCCTGCCCTGCATCCATGGGCCACGAGGCTCCCACAGTCCTGCCCACCTAGCCTACGGGCCAACATGGCCACCAAGAGCTGTGACGCTTGTTTCTTCCCATCCCACTGGTTGGGGAAGGAGGGTCTCCAGCCTGACTTGCATGTCCCTGCGCACCTGTAAACAATTTACAGTGTAATTTTCCTGCTAATCAAAGCTGCAAATGCTGAAAAATTGGTAAAACAAAGAAACACATCAGCTTCTGCCACTGCAAAATAACAAAAAGGACAGTGGGGTGTCAAAGCAAGTGGTGCAAATGTGGGGAAGTTTAGTGGTGGGAAATGTGTGCATGCAGTGATTTTCTCCATTTCTTTTCAAGGCTGCTAAAACGGATCACACGCTGCTGAGGATGAACATAGAAAAGAAGGCCAAATGGAGGGCTGAAGTGGAGAAAGATGAGGAGGCAGCTGTTGGGAAGCCACAATGATTTGGAACAGATTTATTTTAACAGTAGGAGATAAGTGATTTGCACACATGGCGTATGTACCTGTCTTCGTTTAACTCTTTGGAGCTTTTTCACTGAAATTCTCAGGGCAAAGACTTCACTGCTTAGAAACTGCTCCATACAAACTGGGAAACTCCTGTGGAAACTCCAACAGCTGCTTTCTGTGGCCTGTGGTCTTTGGCGCTGGGCTCTGCTGAAATACAAAAATGTCTTCTAAACTGCAAAGTATGGGAAGGATGGATGCTGGATCCGCCAGCTCAGGATCAGCTTTTCATGGTGCTGCTTGTGCTCAGTGTGGCCATGGGGTGGTCTCCTTGCAGCCAGGAAGGATGTGGCCCTACAATCAGAGAGCATCCCATTCTGTGCAATGCCTCTAGCGAAACAGCCTTGGCCAAAGTGACCCAGAGCAGGGGGAAAAGGGAAATGTGTTTTGCAAGCACAAAGAGGTCAATTATCTCTCTTTCCCCAGCCCCTCATGGAGTCCTGTGGCCAGGGGAGGGGGGGACATGAGTATGAAGAGGGGCTGGGAAGGTGGAGAAGTGTGAGCAGACCCTGGCAATTGATTTGGGCCAAAAGGGACTTTGGGCCAGAAGAGACAGCAGTGATGTGGAGTGGTAGCATGGGTATGTGGTTTGGTGTGGTTGCTGTGGGGAAGCCTGGGGAACCCAGGCCCAGCACAGGGAGCCTGGCCTGGAGGCACCTCTTGTCCTGTTGCACCTCACTGGTTTTTCGTCTGCTTCCAGTCATTGCCATGAAAGTTCTCTAGCACTTGCTTAGTTGTGATTTTAGTCAGGAGTAATTGTTAATACATGGTTTGCTAAAACTGCAATTTTTTAATCATCATAGTTCATTAATTCATAATAAAACAGCTGTCCAATTACATCTAAAACAAACGCATCTCTTCACAGCTTCATTTGAAGTGTCACCAAACTCTCTGGAATGATGTTTAACAGATGGGAGACATCCTAATGAAATACTGAAAGTTTAATTTTCATGAAGTGATTAAACTTCAAGACAGGCCCCAGTTCATGATTGTGGGCACCGATGGTCTGAGCCCCCTCAAGACCCGTAAGACAGGCTGGGTGTGCTGCATGGGGTGCCAAGAGACACGGAGTGACAAAACCCAGCCGCCTTACCCCAGCTGCCATAGGAGGCAGCAAATGCTGTAACCACGCTCAGCCTTTGCATCCTGAGCACCACACCAAGGCTTGGCCTTTGCAAGGTTCATTACCTGTACCAGTTGCACTTGTGCTCCAGGAGAGTCTGGAAGCTCCTGCTCAAGTCTCTGGGGTTTATTGCGTCAAATATCATGTCCACTTATTGCTGGTGTGTCACGACATGAGCAAGGTGCTGGCTAGGACAGGCTGGGGCACTGGCAGGCAGTCAGCAGTTGTTGGGCTCTGGGACTCCATCACCTGTGCCTGTGGTTGTTGTGCAGCTTTTTCCCTCTGATGCTTCCTAGGAGCACTTTTCTCCACGTTGCACACCTGTTTAGGATGAGGAGCATGTGTGAGGGGGATGTTACATCTGTCATAGCTGGCCATTTGCAGCCCTTGTTTCCAACTCACAGCCCCGTGCAGTACAATTCACCAAAAGCGACGTCTGCTCCCTGTAGTATTCCTCAAGAAGTGCATCCCAGGGAAGTGAAAATAATGGTCTAGGACAAGCACAGAGTGAACAAGTCTCTGCTGAGAAAGCCCTTTTGCCTGCACAGGTAATATGGGCTCTTCCATTTTACATGACCTGATTTTCTTGGTTAGTGCAACAAACCCCAAGAATTACCTCAAAGTTAGTGTTCATTTGCGGATAAATTAAAATAGCTCTGGTCAGCCTCTTAGATTTTTTTTTAATTCTTAAACGGTTTTCATGTGCCCTTTTTAAGAAGGCACATGTAACACTTAAAGGAACCCATTTCAATGCTCATAAACAAATCCACATCCATGTTCTGAGCTTCCCTGCCTTAATCAGGAAAGGAGATGACCATAACCACATATAAAGAACAAGCAAATTAACTGCAACTTGTTCCTCTCTCTGGTCCGTGCTTCCCTCTGCCTAGGAAAAAAAGCCTGCTTCAGGTGCAAGCTATTATCAAATCCCCTTAAACAGCCTGGGTCTCTGTTGACCAGTGCATAAAGCTGCGGCATTATACATCACCACTAAGAAAAATGAAAAAATCAATTCCTCCTCCCGGAGCCCCTGATGATGGGCCACTTCTGAGCGACCAGATGACCCAGGTGCTTTTGGGGTCTCACAGAGGGCTATGACTGCTAGGTAGGGAATAATCCTTTATCAGCCCCAGCTACATGATTATTCATTTTAATATCATAATATTCCCCCAAAAAATCAATCACACCAGCTGCTGGCTTGCACTGGCACAGTGCGGCCTCAGCTGGAGCCGTCCCCTGCCGTAATGGGAGATGCCAGCAGAGGACATTGCACTGCTGATGCTTCTGCAACACTGGGACTTACCACTGCTTGTTAAAATCTGTTTCTACCTGTGTTTGTAAAGTCCTTTGACTCTTCTCTTGAAAAGCTTCTAATTAACACAGCTTCCTGACTGTATAATTGCCTAATCCTCACCACCTTAGGGTTGGGGGGTTTGGTTTGGGTTTTTTTTTTTTAATTTCCCTTCCCATCTATATTGCTTCAGTGTCACACCTGATCCCCCAGTCATTTAAAAAAAAGGGATGGGAGTTGTTAATAGGTAGGAGCTGTTCTTCCCCTTTTAACAACATGCCCTGCATTTCCCTAGCCTGGTCCTGAGGACAAAGCAAGGGGCTGGCCTCTCTCCGAGGTAGGGGATGGAGCTGGGAGTGTGCTGCTTTGCTGTGGTGCTCAGGGAGACCAAGGGTGAGTCCTTTCAACTCGCACCTCCTTGTTTACCACTTTGTACTGGGAGGAAAGAATGCTTCTTCCCTTGCAGGATTTTTGCCATTTTAATGAACTCTTATGTGGAAATAGTTAACAAAGTGCTGGTGGCTAGTGCCAGAGATTTGCGTTATGATAACAACTATTGGGGAAGATTTTCCCTAGTACTTGGAGTTGATCTAATTCTGCTTCCATTAAAATCAGTGCTGCAGTTCCTCCTGGCTGTGAATTAAGGTTATTGTGCACCATTTTTTTTGAAGTCTCAGTGACTTGCAGAGACCTAGCTTCCTCAGGGAGCCAGGCTGCTGTGGGACAGAGCCGGGTGCACCGAGCTTTCTTCTGCCAATGTGGTGAGATTAAGCTCGTACAGGAGACTCTGCACTCTGAGCATCCCAGTGCCTCAGAGGAAAGGTGTGAGATGGGAAGGCCTGAGCTCAGGAGATCTCGGTACTTTCTTTACTCTTTTTATCTCCCTCTTTGACCTGCACAGGGGGTTTCTGGTGACACTTGATTTCTTTCTATCCATCTACTATGTGCAGCTCTTCTGGGATGCACCAAGGCTGATGCAATCCTGCACTCGCAAAGCACTTTTTCCCTTGATGCAGATGAAATCTTGCCATTCAGATAGACCTCATTTTAAAGACTTCCCTGTTCTTTCAGTGTTTAATCTCCCACCAAGCTGGGAAACTGCTGCATATGTTAAGGCTGAATGCACCCAGCTTCAGCTTCCAGGCATTGGACATAGTCTTTAATATGGAATATAAAAGATCCCATCTCAACTCTTTGCTGTCTGTAACTAGTCACCACTCAGCTATCATTTGGAGATGGATTCCTGTGATGTTCCTTTGAACATCTGTAGTTTCTAACCATTGCTTGGTGGGTATCACTGGCTTACTGGCCAGTGAATGACACTACAGTGCATTCATTCCTCTACCGAGTGATTTTACTACATTAGAGGCCTCTTCATAAACGATCAAAATATAACTTTTGTGTAGTTTAGCATAGAATTAATAATCTAGTACTTTTGCAGAATGAAAGGATGTAAAAGCTTTCCAGACTTTACTGACTACGCTGAAAAATTAAAAAGCACAGTAGTGATGCATCAGAAACTTGTTCTCCTCTGTCTGTGCCCAAGGCACCAGCACCTGCAGGAGCAGCGTGGCCAGGCAGTGGCTGCAAATCTCCTTCTGTTCCTGGGACTGCCAAGGGACAGCTCAAAGGAGCTTCAAGGTTGAAGGTCTCCTCTGGGCGAGACGCAGTGATGGTTTGGATCTGGAAAGGGACCTGCTCCCTCTTACTACAAAGACGTTTCCAGCATGGAGCAGCCTCATGCTTTCTCCTTTGCTCAGCATCATTGCAGCAAATAAGCACTGGCTGCTGCTGGCCCACAGGTACCTGGGGTCCTCGTGCCTCCCATGATTTCAAAGATGGCTTAAACACCACTCTCCTGTTTGGATTTGGCACAAAGTCATTCCTAGCAGGAAAGCAAGGCCAATGTTCAATAATTTGAATTAATTAATGGATCATTTATTAATGCATTGAGGTAACATTAAAGCTATTTTCCATGGTTAAGTAGTCTGATGATCATTAGGCACTGCATGATTTATTGCAAAACCTCTGTGACAGTCATATGATAAGTAGGTAGTTCCTGAAGGGCTCTTAAAGGACCTGATTATTTAATTTGCTCTGGACACAAACACCAATGCTACATTGGTCTAGCTGGTTCCACACCTTGTCTGTGCATGAGACTGCTTTCTACATGGAAATCTAAAGCTGGGATCTGACCCTTCCTCTGCAGCACTGTGATTCCTCATGGACCTTGGGCTATCTGGGAAGGGACTGCTGTTTGTTGGGGGTGTGAGGGCTTTCCAGAGGGAGGAGTTCAGTCTGGAACAGGATTTTGTAGGAAACAGTTGGGCTCGCTCATGATTTATGTATGTTCTGCAGCATGAGCAGAGTTAGAAACTGCCGGTAAGACCAGAAAATTGAGGGGTTGCATGCTGGTTGGCAATGCACTTCTCCCAGATGACGTATGGTCCTGAGACTTTTTCTAAATGAAATGGAAACCAAAATAGCACAATGAATTAGTCATATGCTAATTACAATCATTCTTAATAGTTCATGTTTCTGTTTCTGCAGAATGTATAAATGCAAACACAACTCATGGGGTGCACCATGAATTGCACCACCTTTACACCGAACTCCTAGCTCCCTGGTAGCTATTTTATCCTTGTCTAAGTATTGTCCTGCAAAAATGTCTAACAGCAGGGCTATAATCTTTACCAAGGACATCCATTACAGCTGTAAAGATGTCATTAAAGCAATGCTGCTCCAGAGGGGGTGAAACAATCTCCAGAATACAGTTTCAGACTACTAAGAGACTGGAGTAAACCTTCAAAGGTAGGCAGTTAAATATCCCAGCATTTCAGTGCTCTAAGCTCCATGAGAGGGCAATTTTACTTGACAAACAAACATTAATGCAAAGCAAAAATACAACAATTGCATGGTGTTCTCTCCCACTCATTTATTTTTTTCTTCTTCCACGAGCCGTTGTGCTGGTGGCCCAGGGGATGCTGTGAGCTGGGGACCGCTGGGCACCTGCTGCTGTGGCAGGAGCCCACGCTGGGGCAGGGGGGATGCTGTGGGGCTGCCGACCACTGCACAGTGAAACTCTGCAGAAACAGGCAAGGAGCTGCCTGTGCAGCTGCGGTATCTAATGTGCCAATTCCCACAGCCTCTCTGTAGCTGCTAATGTTCAGTGTTTGAGGACTTTTTAATCTACTTGCCTCTTGTTGTCTATGCTGAATGCACCAGGGAGGAACTTTGGGTTCATTTCAGGAGAAGTCTGTGGACCTCCGTGGGTGACAGCTGGATGTGTGAGTGTCTCCTGCTGCTGGGAGGGCACAGGCATCCTGCCAAGATGGGCTCTGGGAGTCACGGAGGGAACTGCACAGGGTGAAGAGCAGAGGCAGCCGCTGCTCAGGTGACGCTTTGCATATGGCTCCCCAAAGGCGGCTGATTCCCTCCCGGTGTCCTTTGCTCCAAGCCAAACTCTGACCTGGCACCTGGGTGCTCTGCAGCAGATGGTGCCATCCTCTCAAAGCCAAGCTGTGGGAGCCCAGCTGCTCTGGGGGTCCCAGGGCAGCATCAGCTCAACCAGCATGAGGGAGAGCTGCAGCCCCATGACCTGCCCATGAGGTGACGGGGCTGGGAACGGGGTGCCCAGTTGTGGGGGGAGCAGAGCAGTGCATTCACGCTACTGTCGCATCCTTCTGCTGCTCAGCCCACCAGCACAGGCAGTTGCTGTGGTTCATTGCCCTCCAGACTTCCCACAACACATGAACTCTGCAGTGTTCATCAGGTGGGATGCTGGACACCTTCCTAAGAATTTCTTAATGTACAGTGAGCACTGGCCTTTGGAAGCACTAGGACAGAGTGTTCAGCGGAGCAGCTTGAGCCCAAATATTTTATTTTGCTTCAGTTAGCCAGAGAGAAATAACAATTTAAAAATTGTGCCTGCACATGAGCCCGAGTCACACAGATCCATTTTCTGTGCACAAAGTTATCATAGAATCCTTTAGGTTGGAAAAGACCTTTAAGATCATCAGCTCTGACCATTAACCTAGCACTGCCAAATCCACCACTAAACCATGTCCCTAAGCACCTGGTCTGCCAGTCTTTAAATCCCTCCAGGGATGGGGACTCGACAGCTTCCCTGGGCAGCCCCTTCCAGTGCCTGACAACCCTTTAGGTGAAAAACTTTTTCCTAATGTCCAACCTAAACCTGCCCTGGTGCAACTTGAGGCCATTTCCCCTCTTCCTATCGCTTGTTACTTGGCAGCAGAGACCAGCTCCCCCCTCCTGTCAGGCAGCTGTAGAGGGCAATAAGGTCTCCCCTCAGTGTCCTCTTCTCCAGGCTGAACACCCCCAGGTCTCTCAGCTGCTCCCCATCAGCCTGGGGCTCCAGACCCCTCAGCAACTTCGTTGCCCTTCTCTGGACATGCTCCAGCCCCATAATGTCCTTCTTGGAGTGAGGGGCCCAAAACTGAACACCATACTTGAGTTATTATGCAGAGTATTACGCACCAGCCTGGAAAAATATTTGCAATATCCTTCAGGTTTTTTCCTTTACAAATATATTTACACAAAGGAAAGTAAAATCTCTGCAGCCTACCTTTATCTCAAAAGCAGGTTTCCCTTCCGACAGAGTGAAATGGTGTGGCTATCTCTTCTGCAGGAGGAGTGATGTGAATTTTGCTTTTGGCCCTGTGGAAAGCAGCTGAAAGTTTTGCACTGGGAAGAGGTATTCAAGACTATACTTCTCTACTGATACTGGGGGACCCTAACCCTAACCCCTGCCTCCCTCAGCAGCTCCCAAAGCACATGACACAGGCTGTCAGTGCCGTGTTGTCCCTTTTAGAGGCAGGGAAGTCTGCATCCCTGGGAGCAAGGGCTGCCCTGAGAGGGGGCAAGCACAAGTGTGGGCTGGCACAGGCATCACCCCTTTATGGGTTGGTTTTGCTTTTAGAGCTGAGGACTTAGGATGAGTGAGGTTTAAGGGCTGGGGTTTGGGGTGCTGGGAAAGGGTCCCACATCACCCAGGGGCCTGGAGATGCTGCTGAGTTTTGTGTAAGACCCCGTTGCAATGGCCATCCCCCATGGGGCTCCCCTGGGAGTGTACCAGAAAGGGTATCACTAATGAGTGGTGATATTTAATACAGAAAGTGGCAGAGCACAGAAATAGTCACAAACCTCCTCCCTGTTAACAACATTTTCATCAACAAGGAAAAGTGATTTGAGTTGCTTTTACACATCAGCCCAGGGACCGTGACCTGGAAATCAAGGCAGCCCCCCACACGCAGTTATCAGTCCTCACATGGAGGCTTGGCCAGGGTCTGGATGCTCTCACACAGCAGTCGGTGCAAGCTCAGCGCTTCCCAGCTAATGTGCTCCCTTGCTGCTCTGTATGCAGACATACTTCTATAAACAGCAATAAAACCATGTACTTAACCAATAAAATAGGCATAGGAGCCCTGACATCCAGGCATCAGAGCTGAGATAACAGCGCTCTCGGAAACTAACCCTCTGCGTAGGCTGAGCCGTTGTGATTTCTAACTGTAGAGCCATTATCCCCCATCATCCCACCCACCGTCTCGCTACCCTCGCTGGGGGTGCGCTGTGTCACACACCAGCTTTCTGCCCACGGTTAGTGAGCCAGGTCCCCAGCACTGACCCCCCTGGGTGCTGCGTGGCTGGGGCAGCTCGGGTGCTCTCCAGCCTGTGCTGTTTGGCTGGACGTTGCTGTTATTTGCTCAGGCATTGCTGAGCAAGAGATGAGCTGTGTTTGCAGCCTGGGCTTCCCTGGCAAACCTGGTTCCCATAGGGAAGGGCTCGTCACCGTGTGCGCTGCTCTTCACACACATTGTGCATCCTGACTAACAATACACTTATACATTTTACCAACCGACTCACATGTTGGCCAAGTAAGCATGTTGCTGAAGGGGAAACCTGTCTGCCTGCTGGAAAATGGTGTCTTTAGATCAACTGTGTGCTGTTTATCTGGCTCCACAAACCCAGGAGTAGTTTAACAGCACTGATCTTCCAGAAACACAGGCTTTGCTCTGGAGAGGTGGAGGAGCAGGTAACGGCTCAAGGTCTGAGAAAAGGGAGTTGGAAATCCAAGTTCATGTAAACTGCCCTGCTAAGAAGAGCAAAATTCTGCACTTTTGAACTATGAGCAGTTTGATGCTTAATTTCAGAAGTGTATACCAAGTGCCTTAGAAAAAGGAGGATTGTGTGGTACACATCTTGGTGTTGCAGGTGGTTTTTGCAATAAAGGCAGGGAGCAAAGCATTGGGGGCCCATAGGGCTGGGCAGCTCGGTGTGGGGATTGAGAACCTGGTGCCCATGGCTCTGCCTGCTGCCAGAGGGCAGGACACAGCGGTGCTGGGTGTGCTCAGGTGTGTGCTCAGTGCTACCATGCACGTTCCAGATTTGCTGCTGTAGAAGCCAGTGACCCCTTCCCCGTGCTCCCAGCAAGGGTGGCACAGCTGGTGCTCGTGGGGAGGAGAAGCTGCATTGCTCTGTGTGCTGTGCAGGGGCTGAGCTGAGCGTGATGCAGCCTGACGCGGGGCTGGCAGCACCTCCTGAACCTCTGCTGAGGCTGAGAGCATGAAAAAGCCTTGTGAGCCTCTGGAGAGAGGGTTAGTGAAGTGTTTGTGGCTGAAGAACTCCTGCTTCATCCTAGCTCCCAGCTGTGCCTGGGCCCTGGTTTTGTGCTCGTGAGCACTGAGCTAGCACCCCGCCACAAACCCAGGAACTGTGTCCCAAGGCTGCGTCTGATCCGCAGCTCTGCCCCATCTCAGCCCACCCATATCAACCTGCCAAATGCTCTGCTCTTAGCCAGGTGGCGTCCATGCAGACCATCAGCCCTTGGCCTGGGGTGGGATTTTCTGGTGGACCTTGCTGGGGTGGCTGTGGTGGCCAGCTCCAGGCAAGCCCTCTCCTCTGGTGCACCTGCACCAACGTCCTTCTAGCTCCCTCCCCATCTCTTGGGAGAGAGGAATGGGACTCCCAGCTACATTTTAAAATGCAAAACCACAGCCTGACATCTATGGAAAGTTGAGCTTGGTGCAAGAACCACTTTAGAGACTCAGGTTTTAATTGATTGGAGAATAGCTTTTAACCTAGGTTGAAACTAGAGGCAGATTTGCATAACAATTGAGCTAAAAGCTCCGCTACCTCCCACAGCCAGAACAAGGAAACCTGTTTCTGCTCGGTTTTATGTTTTAAGTGCTTCTTAACAATGGAGCAATTCAGTGTTTAAGTACAATTTGCAGGCTCTGCAACAATAGCCTGCTGCAGGGAAAACTCCCTCCTGGCATTTCCTCACTTCTCAAGTTCTGCTCTGAGGCCTGAGCACATTTTAGTAAAAACTTTCTCCTCCCTTTGTCTTACCATTCTATTACTTGTTTAAGACTTAAGTAGTTCCAGAATATGCTGTTTTATTTTTTTCTTCTTCTTCTTGTGGTAGAAAAAGCCATTAAGCCCAGATTCAACTTCAAAATAACTTTTATTAATGCCTTTAGCTGTGATGAGTGAAAACTCCAAGCTGTCAGCTCTAAGTGCAGGAAAAGTCCTGACGCTGTGCTCAGGTTTTATATTAAAAAAAGATGAGAAACCACACGTCAACATGTCAGTGAAAAGCCCGTGAAAGTGAGAACACAGGGTACATTGTTTATTAATGTTATGGTTCAGTCAAAATGTGAAAGCTGTCAAATGGGGAGGAGAAGGTGGCGCCTCAGTCAGGCTTTCCGTTCCTTGTCTGACTATTTTTTTTTTTTCCTTCTTTCACCTTTCCAGGTAGGAAGCTCAGGGTCCAGCTGAACGGTTCATCGGTTCATCTGCCAGCAGGTATCAGAGCCTCTCCTCACTCAGATTACCTTCACTGCTGAGCAAATCTCTCTGGGCTCTTCTGTGATTTACTGGCAACCTCCTCCGTCAGGTAACAAAAGTCAGTTTTTGCGTGTGGAAAGGGACTTGCTGAGCAGGGCTGCCTGTCCAAAGAAATGCAGGTCTCCTTTTTTTCTACCCAGAAGCTTTATCTCAGCAGAGAGTGCTGTGTGGCTGCTGGCTGGGGTTTTTGATGTCGGGTGGTACTGCTGAGCAGATGGGCTGGAGCCATGCAGCCCAGGCCATGCACGTCCCCTCCCCAGTATTGCAGCCCAGGCCATGCACGTCCCCTCCCCAGTATTGCAGCCCGGGGCACCAGCCACCAGCCATGGCACCCAGGTGCCACCGCAGTGGCAGGAGCTAAACCTGCCCTGCAGGGTAGGGCTGAAAGAAGGAAACTGCTGTTACTGTGTTATCCATCCTCAGTGGGGACAAATGTGAGATGGAGGTGGGTTGGGAAGTGTTTCCTTCTTCCAGCGGCTCACCTTAACGGTGGCTGCTGTTGCCAGCTGGGATTTGTGCTCGAATACACAAAGATGTGTCCTCTCCTGCTTAATCCTGCAGCCTTGTTAATAATGAATTTCCATTATGCAGTTGGACAGAGACTGAATCTGGTCCAGATTTGATGAGGGATACAGGAAGACAGCACACTCACACCTTGCAGAAGCTGCTATCTCCTCTGCCAGAAACGCAGCATTTCTTTATTTTTAAAGTAAATCTCTGGTTGCCATGGTTTCAGGGAAGCACAGGTCTCACATTGCTGAGAGCCCTGAGCATACACGAGAGGTGTGAAGCTCCCTGGCCCTGCCATGGGGCTGATTTGGCCACAGGTTTCCATGCTAGTGTTGCTGCCTGGGCCACCTCCAGCTGCAGGTAGCAGGGTCCTCTGGCCCAGACCTCAAGGGGCTTCCTTGGCTGTAGAGATCTTTCCAAGATCACACCTACTCCATGTGGTTGCAATGCATGGGTACAGACCAGGCAGTTTACACCTTCAAAGAAATATGGCGATTTGGTTTAAGGAAGCCCTCCTGTGCCAAGGCTCTGCCTACAGGTTGGACATGTAAAATCTATCCTCAGAGCCAGAAGATTTTCTTATAAGAAAAATCTATCCTTCAGAGCCGGAAGGTTTAGTCTTATAATCTTTTTTTTTTCAGGCTGTTTAGCATCCA